AATGGCTTCAGGTTGTGAAGCATTTATCATGATTGTTTTCTCTCACAGGCTGCAGCTATCACCTCTTTCTGAGGGCTGCTGTACTGCTTTTGTGGCACCGTAGGGCTCCTCTGGTGGCGTCATCAACCCTATGGGAGTTGTTATCGTCACTCGCCGTCTTATGGCACCTCAGGGTCGTGTTGTGTTTTGTGTGTGGGGGGGGGGGCGGGGGGGGGGGGAAGGATATTTTCCAAAACGCAGCTGCAATTTATTTAGCTTTAAATCTAGCTTTAAATGTTACTGCACTCTGGAAAGAAAGAATACCTTTATCTTGGTAAGCCCCTTCCATTTACCTGTTATATTTCAAAATAAATCTCATAAATATATAAGGCAAGAAGGCACCATAATGAGTATTTATTTTTAAATTCAACAGGCCATTGAATTTCAAGGAGCAGCTTCTTTATTACATTCAGTGGCTTTGTTTTGAACTGAACATACATATTTTAGGAAGGCATTTAATATTAATTTAAAGTCTTCAAGTGATGAGGATTCACTCATACCTCCTGTTGCAATAGTTAATTACCCCAGGTACGTTTTTCTCTTGATTTTCTATTTGCATTTCTAGCTCCACCCTAAGTTATTTTGGTCTTTTTATGCATTTGATTGCTTATATTGATCTGTGTATTATCAGCTTTTCTAATTGCTTATGTGTAGTTATAAATCATGATTATGTCCCTTTTAACCTTTTCTCTGATGAGATGTACTGAATTCCTTAACTTTCTCATGGCAATGAATATTACCCAAGACTAATGAATCTTCACATTCTTCGCTGTACTCCTCGTGTATTGAAATATTTCGAAGTGTGACATCTGAATTAGATGCCACATGTCAATAGTGATCCATCAGGCCTATATAGAGATATACCGTGATCCTCTTGCTCTGATTAATATCTCCCTCCCCTCTTTCATCAAAAATTATATTATCCTATATTTTTTTGTGAAAGCATTGCCTTGGTTGCTGACTCTTATGGCTCAAGTCCTCTTCAGAGCCTTTTTCAAGAATGCGGTACATCATTCTCTTGTTATCCTACCTTATTTTTTCTTAGAAATATACACTTTATTTTACCAGCATTAAAATACTGCTCATGAAGTGATCCAGATTGCTCTGTGTAAGTGACCTGTCCTCATTCTTTACTACTCCAGCAGTCTGCATGTCCTTTGCAAATTTATTGCAAGTGATTTTTACAGTTTCTTCCAGATCATTGATTTTTAAAATGGAATGCAAGGCAAGGTTTGTAGAGAGAGGTGATGAGTTTTTATTACATCAGTGACATGGGTAGGGGGTGGGGAAAAGCAAACAGACAAGACGTTGAGTTTGTGTACCTTTTAGCCTTTAAAAAATTGAGTAAGGTGGAGAAAATCCTATATTTTTGGTTGATTCCCTATTAATACTGCATTTTGAAATTAGTTTTCTGTCTTCAACATAACATTCTACATTGATTTGATCTAGTACTGATATTTTAAAGAAAATGATGTGTTCATCTGGTTTTCAGTGACAGGGTTCTTACGGGTAACACCTCAGCACAGGTGTCTTTGCGAGCTGAGATTACTATAGCAAAGAGTAAAATGCAACCTGTTGTTCAAGACCTGTTCTCCATGAAGCTGTCTTGGTTGACATTTTACATCTATCTTTAAATTAGACTCATATGAGCCAGTTCACTATATTACCCTGATTAACGCTAGGCCGTTAATTACCCTGATCATCCTGCCTCAGAACAACAGTGTTGTTTTTACAGTCCTGTGAAACATCATGGCAGTGTTGAGACTTGTTTAACTAATTGGACATTTAGGCTAGAAGCTGGGAAGGCTTCTGCTACTGAATGTAGTTTCTGTTATTTTAAACAACCACTACATAATCCCTATTATGAAGCAGTAGTTGACTTCACATTTTAGTATTTATTGTTACTGACTTAGTCTGGTTTTTTTTTTCTCCTTCTATATTGCCATTTATTACTGCCTTCACATCTTCTGTTAAGCAAGTTGATAAAAACTGCAGGCTACCAGCAAACATTGGTCTTAGCTGTACAGTGTAGCCAGTTGTAGGAAATACATTTGCACTCAGCTTTTGTCTACACAAGAGAATATAAATATTAGTAATAAAAACAGAGCACAATTTTAGGATTATAATTAGAAGATGTATCTGTGAGGAAATTGTGACTTTTTTTGGCTTTTCTATATAGTCTTAAAGTGTAGTACTTTATCACTGGTACTGGTCCCTTATCATTGCATAGGCTTGTTCAGAAATTAGAACTCTTCCTTTGTTTTTTTTTCTTTCTCAAGTTTTCCTGACTATAACGAGGATGAATATTCAAATAAAGGAATAAAGGCCAGTAGATTGCTTGTACGCAAGGCCAGCTCTGTCGTGGTGTGGTACAGTGGCATTTTAGACTGTGCCCTGATTCACTTCCCAGGCTGTGCAGTTCCAGGGACGTGGCCCAAGGCGGGTGCTGAAGCCCATCTCTGGGTAGTGCCTGGGACTGAGGAGCTGTTGGCTTTTGTCCTTCTGTGTGGAGGTGAGGGAAGTCTAGAGGCAGAGAGGTGGGAGGCAGCCTGTTCCTGACGGGACGTGGTGGAAACCATTGAACTGCTGCTTCTGGGCACTAAAGGAGAAGGTACCCACTAAGCCACCTTACCAGTTGTGCTCATCATGAGGGGGCTTCAGTTGCATGACTCAAAATGTCAGTGATCAAAAACCAAAGGTCATTTGATTAGCATCTATAAACAATGCCAGAATAGGAAATATTTCACAAAAGCAGAGGTGCCATTAGCCAGCCTCCTGCTGGGATGAGGCTAGGAAGAGAGCAGTAGGCCTGTGGCTTCTCCCAGCCCTTGTGTCCCACTGCCCACGTTCACATTTGTGCAGGCAAGTTGGTGTGCTCCTGCCTGGCAGTGAGGTCCAGGGATAAAATCCATTTCTCCAGAGACACTGTACCTGGAATGAACGGTTCAAACTGCCCAGTGTAGCACTGTGGTGGCATCTGCCACTGCTGAACTACACATATGATTAGGTACTTTTCTAAGGACCTTGTCAGGCCCACTCTGAAAATTGCATCTGCTTGTTGGCTGTTGGAATGAATTGCTCGCTGCTTAAAGGTGGAATTAAGTCGTGGGATTGTTGTGTTGAAGTCGGGCAGAGACAAGAGTCAACCTAAACTCTTCTTTTAGCAAGTACAACTTGAAAGCAATTACTAGTCCAAACTTGAATATAAATTTCACGGAACAGGAACAGCTTTTGAAATATTGACTGAACAAAAGCCTTGTATTCTACCTAATGTCTCCAGCTGTTCGTCTGCTCTTGGAACGGTAGGCGGTACCTTTTGTAATTTTAAAGACATTAGCTTAAAATGTTTACATTTTTACTAGTATTGGTATTTTATTTTTTTTCTATGGTAATTGTATTAATAGTTATTATATGACGGTTTGTAGGTTTGTACATATTTGGAAATACTGTCCAAGTATGCAAAGTTGATTTGTAATTAAGGTAGATTGCCTTAATAGAAAAATGCAGATTTGGACACTAATGTACTGTGAAATGTTAGAATAGAATTATTTTTTTCACTGCTAACATATTGTATTTCTGTTTAAATATGCAAATGAAATTAAAAATGTTTCTAGAGTAAAAGGGTTTTGGTGTAATTTTCTTCAGTCTTGAAGTACATTATGCTTTACTCCAGTTTATAAACCAAGGGGGTGTCTGCTGTAAAATCAGAGACCTTATGGGTAGCCACCTTTCTACTGGGCCTGCAGAGTGTATCCCTCTAGGCTCGTACTGACGATGGCAAACAGTATTGGCCTCAGTTTTCTAAACTGGAGGAAGGGAGAAAAAACCCTCTGGCAGCTAGCGTTGATTGCTCAGCTCCTGGTCTAATGTACCCAACACATCTGTGTGTGAACACACAAAGTTAGGAGTGTTGTCTGAGATGCACCTTGTTTCCCCGAAATGTGCCTAAATGGTTTGGTTTCGATATTGTCTTACTTCTCTCATAGTCTTGCAAGAAAATGAAGTAGATTTAAGTTATTCCATCCGCTTTGTAAGGTGACTTCCTAAAGGAGCCACTGACACTACTAATGCCATCCGTTAATGTTTTTCTTCCATAGGCAGCCTTGTGCTGGAGCCTTGTGCTCCTGCTCACATCACCGGCTGGAGCCTGGAGTACCACTGCTGATTTAAAGCTAACTGTGCCACTCAAGTAAAGTGTTCTTTTGGTCCAATTATCGTAAAAGAACTGTAATGAACGTAGAGGGCATTGTTAGACATTTTAATTTTAGCATATTTGACTGATTTAAGAGTCTGAAAAAAACAAAATGTGATTGATAATTGCAACGAAAGCTCGTGCAGCTGAGCGATTCAATAAAAATCATGCTCCAGCTAAAGTTGCTGCAGTTTGCTTGAAGGGATCATAGTAAAGATATGATGATCTCTTTATACAACCATTACCAAATGGTTGTATTGTAATCTTTTTGTATGTGTCTTATATATTCACAGAAGAATCTGTTTGCAAGACATAAAAATGAATTGCTTTTCATGAGGAAAAACAGATCTTTCAACATCTTTATCTCAAGATAGCTTTCTAAACGTTCTTTATGTACCTAAAAAGGGGAAAAAATTATAGTAACTGGTAGAGTATCTTTTGTTTTGTTTAAGCATTTGTTTTATTAATCCATTTCTTTAAACTTCTTTCAAAATAGTTACAAAAGAATACAATTGATAACATACATTGTCTCACCTGAGTTTTTTTCTGATACTGCCCAGTGCCACCTCTGTCAGAAGGTGAGACAGGAACAGCTGCAGGAGGAAGTTATGGAGCCATCTTTCATACACAGACAGCTTCTTCCTACCCCTTAGTCATCACAGGTTCTTTTACGTACAGACGTGGGAAGCCTTTTATCCTGTCAAAGTTTCCCTGCATGTTTGTGTCTGGACGTGAATTCATAGTAGCAATTAAAGGTAAAAAATTATATATATTTTTTAATTTACTTAAATTTTCACATCACTGTAGCCTTGTAGAACTTGCTGTTTGATGATACGCCATGAGGGTTTTCTTGCAAAGCTTTAGAATTTGCATATTGTCTTTTGCTAAGAGGGAAAGAGTCAGTAATAGTCCATCACCTTTTTTTTTTTCTTGTGTGTCACTGTTTATAAAGGTGGTACCAAAACACAAATATCTTTGCTTAAGTTTTTTCACCCTGGAGGCACATGGTCCCAGTCTTTTCCAACTTTCTTTGGCTTATATTTTCTGTTTTCTAATTAGTGCCTATTTCAAAATCCCACATATATTTTGAGGATATCTTTCTAGAGCTGGGTGCCCAGAGCTGAACACACACTTCTAGCTCAGGGGTGCTCTTGATTTACAAGAACATAATGTGTTCATTAGTATTGTTTCCATTTTAGCTGCTCATTCTGCATTAGTGAAAAACAAACAAAAGCGTTTCAATTGCTCTGTGACCAGAATGGTCTGTGCTTAAAGAAAGATGTGCCTAATGTCCTTATGGGGAGCTTAACATCTGATTTGCCAATCTCTCAGCAGCAGGAAGAACGCTACGGATGCATAGTGGGCACAAGGAAGCTGCTTTGTCCACACGACATTTGTGTTTCAGATGGTGGCAGCTGCTTCGCTTCCTTTTGGTTTTGAGAGGTCGTTACTCTTCAGTCCCACATGTCTGTATGCCAGGGTTGGGAGTTTTTAGAATAAGCTGGAAGCAATTTAAATTCTGCCACTGTGGATGTATCAGCTGGCATGACGAGTCAGATTTGTAGCCATGTATTTGGCTTGGAGGAAAATTGAGGGCCTATGGCAACTTCCCCTTTCCTTCTCCTGAATCCAGACTCAGTGACTGAAAGCAGAGGACAAGGCTGCTCCTCTCACCAAGCTGGTTTTATCTAGGGGCGTATTTAAAATTCATGGGGTGGACTAGCTCTTCAAACATGGAAGAAACTTTCCTCCAAGTTAGGAGAGTCTTACTTAAATTTTGTGAAGTAAATAGAAAGCTTTTTATTAAGGACGAATCCTAATAATGTTATTCCACACCCTGCTCCAGGTCAAACAGATTTACTATATAATACCTTTAATATCTCAGTAATTTTTATTATTTTAATAAGAGCTCATTTGTGTGTCTAATAATACACCTGATTTTACTCATGACCTCATTAGAAAGTTTCTTAAATATCTGCTTGATCATTATCCTTCAATAAGGAATGGTTTGCTGTCTTGGGACTAACTCGGGTTTATCCCAGCTCCTGCAGCAGCCAGTTAAGCTACAGGCTGGTGCACACTTTTCCATTTATCCATTAAAATGATTGTGTATTTCCTTGGCAAGTAAAGTTAATGATTTCCAGGCATAACCCTCTATTTACATTTTTCATAAGGATAAACCAGACCCTATCAGTCTTCTGCTACTCTACAGCTTGCTAGAGTGATTAATACAGACTTCAGCAACAATTTGTTTGCCTGCCTTTTTCTGGATGTTTTCTTCAGCAGAGCAAATTCTGTCAACTGTACCTGCCAAAAAAAAAAAAAAAAGGGAAAAGGTAGAGCCAATTATTTAGTTATACTCCATCTGTCTCTTACTGATGCATTAAAGAGAGCCAAGGGGTTACTGCAGAAACAATTACTTGAATCAGAGCACGTAGTTACAAGTGTATAAATTCAGTTTGGGCTCTTGCCTATACCCAACAAGAGCAATGCAAGGGCCAACACTTCTCAGCTCCTCACCTGTAAATAGGGACAGTAGTTTTGTCACAGTTTTGGAGGCATTAGTCCTTAGCGGTGCTGAATTTCGCAAAACAGTGCGACGTTTTGTGACCTGAATACCACCATCCTCACAGACTCCTCAACTGAGGACGTGCAGGAAAGGGAAAAGTATCCAAGTTCTCCCAGTTTCTAGAGAGATGATGCTAACAAAGGTATTTTTAATGTAAGAAAAGGGCAGATTGAAAAGCTGGCAGTGTTAGGCATTTCACATGACTCACAGAAGCTCCGTAAGGATGTTTTCTGCAAAGCCTTCTGATGTTGCCACCACCCTTCAGCTCACTGGGCAACCAGAGACCCAACGGTGCTGGTGCCGCTGCCTGCCCCAGTGCCCTGCCCCGAGCATTGCTGGGCACCCAGACACTTGCCCGGCCAGGTCCTGAGCCCAGGCGCCCACTTGCCTTGCTCTGCTTTTTATCCCGCTCCAGTGGAATCACAGCAGCTCCCTTTGGGAGAAAGTCTTAAAGTGCTTTATAATCATTAAGCCTCATAATACTGTCTGGGTTAATTATTTGGGGGAAGTCAGCCACAGAGGTTACATGTATGAAATACCCGTGTGTCAGCCTTCAGACCTGATCATGCTCGGCTTTGTTGGCCCTTTTAGCAGCACCCCGATCCTATAATCAAATTATGCGTGTAAGTTCTGGTTTTTATAAACTACAGCTTAATAGAACAAACAAGCAAACGAGCTTTTCCGCCGCCGCCCCGGTCGCAGTCCGGCGTGTCGAGGTGCGATCCTCATCAGCTGCTCCCCGGAGCAGGGCTGCAGCTTTCAAAACCAGAGTCCCTTCCGGCGCTCCCATTCATGCATTCTGTCAAACAACATTTTCTTTGATTTTTATCAAGATCTTCTTGACTGAGATCTTCAAAGCAATTAATTCTGCGCTCCATGATTGCAGCTGCTGAATAATTGTTTGTTAGAGTATTTTCTTTCCCAGGCAAGAGATGTAAAATAGTTGCTCCCCTCAATAAACAAGTTGTCAAATGTGATTAGTTAATGGACCTGTAATCATGCAATAGCATAAAGGTAAGGATTTGGTAAGTGCGATGTGAAAATGCATATTTAAATTAAGCTATAGGGGAAGATTTTCCCATAGGAAATCTTGCTATCAATGCTGAAATAGACTATTTACCATTCATAATGATTAACTGTAGATCATTAATTAAAGAAAACAAGAGATTAGTCATCAAGCATTTCAAATTAAAGTTGCATTGATTGTTTGAGTTACGTCTAGGTTTGGCTGGGAGGTCAAGTTACTGCCCGGATCCCTGTGCCTGACCCAGCCTTCCCATGGAAACTGATAGGCAGAAATAACAGCCTGTTAAAATTAAGGTAAAATAATTTACTGGCCGATATTAAAGTCCAAGAGCCTGAAACGTGTTCCTAGTCACCAGCCCTGTAATTGGCCACTCTGTTCTTGGTCAGACTCATGTTAAGAAGCGGAAACGGAGCACTCGGGCTTGTGGGTTCGTGGGGGAGAGGGAACATCTCATGTTTTGGCAAGTGAATACTTGCCAAACTAAATGCAGTTACAGTGAATGTGTATTACAGCTCAAAAAGCTAATCAGTTTGTTTTCATCTCTGGATAACAAATCTACCTTTCTGCCAGCCCTTTAGAAGAAACCTCAGACAATCCTGCAGTGGCATCTGTGGAAAGCCGAAGCCCTGTGCAAAGGCATCTTATAAGGTTGGGGTTTCCCCCCTACCCCCTCACTTGGGAAATGTACATTCAACACTATCATTTCCTAAAGAGTTTTCCTTGCCAGAAATAGAAAACACTTTTTTTTTTTTTTTTTTTTTTTTTTGGTGTTAAAAGCTGTATGTATTATAGAAATTTAATTCTCCATTTGGGAATTACAAGCAGTAATACAATAATAATAGTTGTTGGTTACCACACGCTAATTTCAAACTATTCCAGGCAGCTGCCTTCTGCTTTCTGTGCAATCTCTTAGCATTAGGCTCCAATATAAACCGAAATTACTCTAAGCTGTCTGTCAAATTTGACTATTCTTTTAAAATGATTTAGCTGTTACTTACATTATATAATAGCAACTGGGGTCATTTAATTACTAAGTCACATATGAAAAATAAGACTTCAGCTTGCAACCTTCAGGTAATTAACCACCTAACTACTATTAAAAGGACAATAATCAGGGCACATAATGCTGAGGCACTGGGCTGTGGGGTCATTGCTGTTATGGCCCAAACCTGCTCTTTTTTTTTTCTTTTTTTTTTTTTAGGGAGCAGGAAGCAGGAAGAGGCAAAGCTTTCGTGAGCTCAGCGGTGACCAGCTTGATGTTTTTGACAACACGAGTGTTTGACTGGGACTACAGGCTACCAGGTATGTGCTAGTGAAGCGGGTTTATTCTTAGCTCTTTGCTAATAATATACCTCTTTACCAACCCCAGAGCCTAACATAGAGGCAGTTGGCTCTAAAAAAGTCATGAAATATTATTTGTATTGACATTTTGGCTACTCAGTCCTGTAGGTCACACTGCAGGGGCTTTTCTTCTCCAAGACTGTTTCATAATGATAGTTGAAAATCTGGTGGTTTTAGACATAACCCCACGAATTACCCATTTAAAGCAAAACCCACTGTGCTGCGATGTTGATACTTACAGCTTTACCCCACGATGTTGCTCCAGCATCCCTCCAGCTCCTCTATAGCTCATTTTGGGGCCTGTCTTGCTCATCATCTCCCTCTTGGCTGCATCCCAGAGTCCCAATGGGATCCCCTGATCCTCCCAGCTGCACCTCCACTTTTCCCTCTGTGTAAAGTGTGATATCTAAGGACAGCAGTTACCCAAGAGAGTGTTTCAAGGTACTGGACCTTTTAAAAGTGAGCAGATTAGCCGAAGGGCAGATCATATCCATAAAAATATGGTTGATTGGAAGACTCCAGCAGCTGGAGCATGGCATGGATGGCCAAATGTCACGATGGTAACCCCCAAGCTGGGGAGATTGAGGTGAGCACCAGGTTACTCCTTCAGATTGGCTCCCAAAGAGCATCCAGGTTTTCCTTGAAGGCTGCTTGCTGGATCGAGTGGCTGCATCCCGTCTTTGCCCACACGTTGCTCGAGAGCCATGCTCTTTAGTATGCAGCTGGTGCAGCTCACCGGCTCTGCCAAGCAGAGCTTTTTAATTCTCCCTCGCTGGAGAGAGGAAACTTCTGAACAGGAGAATGATTAATGGTGGGAGGGGGGGGGAGAGGGAGAAAAAAAAAAGCAAACAAAATTTAGAAAGGAATAACAAAAACCCTCAATGAAAATGAAATGATCAAGATTTATAAGAATTCTATGAATTCCTCACGCTCGTTCAAAGCAGGATCAAGTTGTAGCACACTGCACGTCTCTTAATGAGAATCGCCTTGTTTACACTTTTCATTTACACCGCCCTCATGCCCGCAGGCTCCCAGCTCCAGGCCTGTTCACACACGTCAGGGAAAACCAGACAGCCAGGCCCCAGTCGCTCGGGACCAGCTGGAGGGTTTGTGCCAGGATGGTGGGTCTCGCCGGCAGCGCAGCTCGGAGGGGCCTTGGGGGACAGCCAGGGAGGGGGGACACCTGGCAGGGCACCACGGGGAAATCTGGCTTTTCACGACTCCACCGAGCATGGTGTTTGGATAAATCTACGTTTCCCTGGGAAGGCTAACCAGCTCATACTCGGTGGCCTTCACTGTAGCCCTGGAGATATTTGTCAGGTGCTTGTTTTCCTTCCATCCCCTCCACAGCTTTGATGGAAATGTTGCCGGTCAGGTTTCTCACCACAGCTGTGGACACGTGGTCTTCCCCTGCTCCTACAGCAGCAAGCACAAGCCAGGGTGCCTCCAAGCTGCTTGAAATTAAAAATCATTGGAGCACGTATACTTTATCAGGTCTTTTTTTTTCTGGAGAGAGTCCAGCAGAGAAGTGCCCAGCTCAGCTCTGAGACGTTTGCAATGAATTTTATTCACAGGAAATACTGAAATTGACTGATATCCCTCTGCTCCCCATGACAGTAGTCAGTGTTTGAGCATTTTCCTTCTTATAGGTCAACTTGCTCTGCACCCCTTGTGCATCCCTTCACCACCAAACTCCCTCTACCCCCATGAGCAGACAAGGGTGTTAGCAGCAGCCTGGCTTGGGTGGTACAAGCTGGGAGAAGTCAGGTTGTTATGAAGCACAGCTCTTATATGACTATCTTTGTAGGCAGTGCAAGCTCATGTGTGTTTGGGGTGGATCACAGAAGGTCTCCCCTGTGAAGTGTTGCAGGATAACTGACAGAAGAGTTGGTTATAATCGGTAGAGATGGGTAGGGAGAAGGAATGTCTTAGCCCCTGCAGACAGAGGTCACACCTGAACTCCTCAGAAGAGCTCAGGTTTGCAGCATGGTCACTCAGTACGACTAGCCAAAGACTGCAAAATGTTCTCAAAAGGTTTGAAAGCTAGATCAAAATGGTAAAGTTTAGCGCGACCTAAACCAGAAGGTTTAAGAGGCTGCCACTCCAGTCTACAGAATGTAACTCAGGGGCTGTGAAGAGGAGGGGTGGAGCAACAGAGAGTGTATCCATATCTATTCCAAATAATAATCATAACATTAACTTGAGATTGAATTTTTTTAAATTTTTTTGCTGTCTATTGCATGCACATATGTATGTGCACAGTTTTAACACAGTCGGTGGCCCATTAAGAGGCAGGCAGTGGGAGCCCGGAGAGCCCGGGTCTGTGGGGCACAGGCTGCCCTGCAGCACAGCCCCAGCACCTGTAAAACGTGACACCCAACTTCTGCATCTCCCCCTTGCTGGAGCAATCCAAGAAGTGACACTTTAATTCTTTCCTATCTTTCTGCATTCTCAATTGGACAAGGAAAATAAACTAAAATGGCACGAGCAGAGTTTTTCCAATTCATATGACCATCTATCTAGATTACAGCAATGTCAAAACTGGGGGCTGCTCACCTGCTGAAGACAGCCATGTCAAAGCAGCAATTCTCACTGGGCCACGGGCCACTGTTGCTAATTTGCCAGCTGCATTTTCTGCACTGGTGGAGGTGAGGCTGTGGGCAGGATGCTGTGAGGGGCCCAGTTCTGCTCTGGATGGTCTGGGAATGGGCACAGCCCTGCCGAGCAACCAGCCTGGGCAGGGGCAGCATCCTGGCCACCACGGCATCATCTAGTCTATTGGTGCAGCCCTGTCCCAAGTGGCACCCAGCCCTGTTCCTTGGCTGCTCCCACCGGGCAGAGCTGCTCCAGGCACCCTCGGAGCAGCAGGTACCAGTCTGCCTGTGCCCAGGAGAGGTGTTTGTCCAGACAACCTGCCTAACCTTCTTTTGACAGGAAATAAGTGAGACTAAAACAAAAAGTGATGTGGGACACGAGAAAAAAAAAAAAAAGAGAGAAAAAAGGAGCCCTTAGAATGGGGAAGATTGGAGAGTACATATTTTTTGGTGGACAGGAAGATCAACCTCTGATTCCTCCAAAAAAGATCAGAAGAGTGACTCTAGCTACAAAACCACCAGGCAGTGCCCATTTCTACTGGGCATTAAACCCAGGAGGTGGATGTCTGGAGGGTACAAGGAAACCATCGGTGCCAAAATTTGATAACCAAAAAAGTTATTTTCCATTGTTGAAGTATTTCACCACAATTTATTACTTTGACCTTGCTGCCTGTACTCTTGGTTCCTCCCTCTCCTCTTTCTCAGCGTCTAGAGGCTACTGGTGGTTCCTTATGCCTGCTTAGGAAATGGGTATCGTTGGGGAAAATTTTGGTCATCCTACCTGCCTCTGGAGCTCCCCATGGCCACATCACCCTGCCTGACACACAGTCACTGTGTGGTGAGCCACCAAAGCAGGTGTGCACACAGTAATGCCATGGAATTTGACAAAAAAAAAGTTGCTTTTTTCAAAAGAATAATAAGAATGAAAATTAATAACGTATCCAAACCCTGTTTCACTAGCGGGAGGAGCAGCTTTGAGGAGCAGGGATGGCATCAAGGTGAGGGGTGGCACCAGGGAGCCCAGCAAGGAGCACAGAGCCCCCGGCCAGCCCAGGGGGGCTGGAGGCACCGCAGGATTTCTGGTCCCAGTAACCTTGTTGCTTTGTCTGAAGTATCCCACGCGCAGCTGCAATTCCTTTGCCTCTGATCCATATAGAGATGTAGCCTAATTCTAATAGCGTACGGCTGCTTTGCCCTCTCTGGGATTTTCATTACGTAGCCTTATAGGGGCCCCTCTGGAAAGCTGAAGCTGAACAGGGTTGGTAACTGCTGCTCCCTATCGTGTTGATTTCAATTCTTTGATCCACGTTATTTCCTCTGAATGGAGAAGGACCAAAAATCGATAGGTGCTACAGGCGAGCTATTTAGTGGGACTCCCTCTGAACTTGGATAAATCATTTGACCTCCTTCTGCCTCCATCAATCCCGATGCAAAAGTAGCTTAACGCTGGCTCTAAATGAAGAACAGATGCTCCTTCTGAGCAGAGCTATCATGCACTAGTGGGGAGAGAGGGGGATAAACAAACAAATACACGCTCCAACTGCAGCCAGTGGAAAGTACAACCGGTGGCTCTGCTCTTGTTGTTGTTCCTCCATCTCCATTAGCAGCTGAAAGCAGAAGACACAGCAGATGGAGGGACTGTCGGGGTAACGGCTGCTTTCCCCAAGCTCCCCTGCAGCCCTGGTGATGCTGCGCTTCGGGGCACAGGGGGGTGGAGAGTCAGAGGCTTCAGGGTCTGCCTCTGCGAGGGTCAGTGGTACTCTGAGGGGTGAAACCTGAAGGCGTTTCACACCACATTTTAAGTTACTGGAAGAAAAATTCCCTTCCCGTTGACATATGTAATGCCTTAACACCCCTGCCTTCCCATTCCAGCTTCAGAGGCCAGTCCCTTCACCGTGGCAGTTCAGCCTCTTCTCTTCTGCCTTTTACAGATGTTTTGTACAAGTCTGGAAAGAAGTTGCACCAGCAGCAGCCTTCTAGGAGATCTGGTTCGGGTCAGAAACCTGTCCACACCAGAATGGATTTGGCTGATCTCAGTGAGGTAAACTCATAATGCAGTGGGCTGTTGTCAGGCTTCATTTATTTCACGTTTATTTTATGTCAATTATTGGATAGTGTTTGGTTGGGCTGCAATATAGCTCCAAGTGGGAAAATGTAATCCTCTCGCCTCCATCCCTTGATGGAGTACTGCCGGCTCCTCAAAATTGCAGCTGAGTGAATGAGCTGCTTTGCCTAATTCAAAAGCTACCATAAATGAAAAGAGAACCGTACAGCAGTTTCCACTGTACATCCCCCCATCCTGCTCTTCAGCAGGGAACAGAATTTTATTGCGCAATTACCGCGTCCTGAGACAAGGCATCCGTGATGGCAAAGCAGATGGATGCTCAGCCACAGCACGCTTCAGCAGCCTTTTCTGGTTTTGCTGATGGGGGACACTTTTGATAAGTATTAAAAGATGAAGTGCTTGGCAAAATGCTTCACACAAAGTCTTTCTCCAAAGGGCCTCTCACCCTTGTTGCTAGCAGGCTCCTGGATGGTCCACACAGCCACCCTGTGGCCACCAGGCTCCCAGTTCACCCATAGCCAGGGCGAGTGCCGTGGGTGCTCCCACAGGAGTGTCTGTGTGTCCTCCCAGGGAACCTGCTGGTGGTGGCTGCAAGAAATTTCGCAAGAAATCAGAAGTGGTACAGATTATTTTTGTCGCTCTTTTGTAGGTCACCTTTAATAGAAATGTTAATAATGCTTGCTATCTGTATATCTGAAATCTTATATGGTAGCTCTGTAATTCACTGTCTTTATCAGCCTTCTTTAATGTATAATTTAATGCTTGTATAACTATTTTGTTTGGGTATGACTCTCAAAATTATGACTAAAAAAATGATCTGTATGCTAGTTAACTGCTTTTTATGGAAAGTATTTCTTTCATGTTATTTTAAAACCATGGAGCCAGGGGAAGTATTTTATGGACCACAGAACCTCGCAGGGTAGTTAATTTCTGTTTGAGCTGGTTTCTCTGCTATTTTAAAGGGTGCCATCAAGATCATTGCTATTTCTCTTGGTTGGGAGCCAGCTCAAGCTTCTACAGTTGCGACACATCCCTGTGCTGTTATTAAAGCTGGGGAAAATAGTAAACACAGGAGCTGCCACAGCAGCACCCCAAGATGATGGGGGGAAGGAAGGAAGGAAGGAAGGTCTCCCTCACTGTCCTGGGCACCCCAGGGCAGCCAGTGCTTGAAATGGACTAAACTGGGGTTGTTCAGCCTGGAGAAAAGGAGTCTGAGGGGAGACCTTATTGCTCTCTACAACCACCTGAGCAGATGTTATAGTGAGGTGGGGATCGGTCTCTTCTCCCGCATAACAAGCAATAAGACAAGAGGAGATGACCTCAAGTTGTGCCAGAGAAGGTTTAGAGCAGATATTACGAAAAAATTTTTCACCAAAAGGGCTGTTAAGCATTGGAACAGGCTGTGGTATTTAAAAGACATATAGACATGGTGCTGAGGGACGTGGTTTACTGGTGGACTTGGCAGTGCTAGGTTAACGGTTGGAGTTGATGATCTTAAAGGTCTTTTCTATCCTAAATGATTCCATGATTCTAAATTAGGCACCAAGGATGCTGCCTCCTTCTTCTGATGGGCAGAAAATATTTCAGCCTGCTACCGGCCCCCTCCCAGCCCTCCTGCTGGGGCCGGGCAAGCCCGTTACTGCCATGAAAGATGTTTTCTTCCCACAGGCAGCAAATGGGTCCTGGTCACGCGCGCCGTGGGCTCAACGGAGCATGCGGGCCTTCGCCGCGTGCGTGTTAGCTCAGAGTAATCTCTCTCTGCTTTAAAAGCAGTAATTGGGTGGTTAGCTGAGCCCTAGGCAAGCTTGAGTTATGCACTGAATATTCTGCCTTTTGTTTCATAATGAATTATTTTGTGTATCTAAGCAAAGTGGTTTTTTTGGTCCTTTCTCTGCAGTTCGTTCCTAGCCTACTTGTGGGTGTGTGTGTTGAAATCTTTGCCTTTTGCTTGTGAGGTCAAGTGCTTTAATCAGGAGCAAAAAATTTGCGTGCTTTACTCCTAAATTCTCTGAGCAGCTGCCAAATATAATTAGAAACAAATGGCTTTATTCCTCATTTGAGAGCTCCACAGACATTGGGGGGGGGGGGGGGGG